TAGTGCATCAGCATATAGATTCTAAGTCTCTAGTGCATCAGCCTATATATTCTAAGTCTCTAGTTCCTAAGTCTCTAGTGCATCAGCATATAGATTCTAAGTCTCTAGGTCCTAAGTCTTTAGTGCATCAGCATATAGATTCTAAGTCTCTAGGTCCTAAGTCTTTAGTGCATCAGCATATAGATTCTAAGTCTCTAGTTTCTAAGTCTCTAGTGCATCAGCCTATATAGTCTAAGTCTCTAGTTCCTAAGTCTCTAGTGCATCAGGATAAAGATTCTAAGTCTCTAGTTCCTAGGTCTCTAGTGCATCAGCCTATAGATTCTAAGTCTCTAGTTCCTAAGTCTCCAGTGCATCAGCATAAAGATTCTAAGTCTCTAGTGCATCAGCCTATAGATTCTAAGTCTCTAGTTCCTAAGTCTTTAGTGCATCAGCATATAGATTCTAAGTTTCTAGTTCCTAAATCTCCAACAACAACAGATTCCTGTAATAATAATAATTATTCGAGGTTCTTATATACCGCTTTATCACAGCCTAGTTCGTAGGTCGTCTCAAAGCGGTTCACAAATTATTATCCGTGGTGATAGGGCCTTTGCAACCAGCAATCTTTCTCAACTCCCAGAGGAGCATACAGCCGTTGCTGCCATCCCAGCACTGCCCAACCACGTACATATTTACAGCTGAGAAGACTGGAACAAGCGGAGTAAAATATCTTATTCAAAGATACAACACAGTGCCGTGACGTGACTCGAACCCGCAAACTTTCGGTCACGAGCCCGGTGTCCTGCCACTAGACTACTGTGTCTGCTGTACTGGGGACCCCTTACCTCACACGACTGTTTAGAGTCGAGGATCCTTAGTATGCTTTCCTGTAGGGAATTGCTCACGAACTGTGTGGCAGTCATCTTCATGTACTGATCCATCAAAGTGGTCGCCAGCGACGTTGACCGGAAAAGTGTTGATACCTCCTCTGTAGTTTTAAATGATAGTTAGTCAACTATATATCAACAATCAAATTCTACCTCATTCATTTATCTCCCCCTTCTTTGCATTATCCAACCAGTTGGTATTTGATAAATATTTCCCAGCTGACCAGTCATCAAAATCAAGGACACTGACTGAAGTAATGCTGAATACTATGTAATTAGGGTTACCTTCAACAGTAGCTTCATAATCTTTAAGTCATAACATGTTTTCATTTCAGAATAATGTCTGTGAGGTTTGTCTCATGACTCCGTCACATATTTGTGGTAATACACAGTTTGTAAAAGTGAACTAAAAACAGAATTCAGTACAGTTAAGTGTCTGAATACAACCCTTGTTTGAAATGCTGTATTTCCACAGCATCTGAAACTAAATGTTCATACTTGAAAACGTAGAGAACATTTAACACATGATTACAAAATTTCCTATAAGTTGGCTCCTGACAACTATAGTAAATACGTACCTTCCCTAGCAATTTCGAAGTCATTCATTGTCTTGAGAATGACTTTCTCCTGTTTTTCGTGTCTGAAGATCTGTAGAAGAGCTTTAGCGACAGGTATACGGTCGTTCCCACAAAGGTTAAACAGCTCCAGAATGTTACTGAGGTCACCGTTGAGGATGAGCTGTACAGATCAAAGGTAAGTTGTATCAAACAAAGCCAACAAGAGATCATACCTGCCTTTACTGAAAATAAAGTCCTTTTCATTTTTATACTAAGTGTAAATATTTAATCTAAATCTCATACAGTGGCTAGGAAATGTCAAAGGTTTGGGAAATTATGGTTCTTTAAAAAGAAACCTTTGCTGCTCTTAGACCTCAGATTATAGATTACATAAAAAGACAGGATATTAAAAGTTCATCATGGATAAACAAACTGTTATTGTATATATTCTTAAATGCATAATTAATATTAAATTGTACACCTTACGCTTTATGTTGATGGAACACCTAGTTATGTGTTCTGATGTTCAAAGGAAATACAGGAAAACATGATGTTTACCATCTTTGTATTCTCTGCTAAATAACAGGATGTTTACCATCTGTGTATTCTCTGCTAAATAACAGGATGTTTACCATCTTTGTATTCTCTGCTAAATGACAGGATGTTTACCATCTTTGTATTCTCTGCTAAGTAACAGGATGTTTACCATCTTTGTTTGATTTAATGCTCCTTTCTAACCTTAAAACTGATAACAAACTTACCTGGGAAAAGGTACTAATGACACTTGAATATTTATTTGGTATTATTGATGAAATGTTCCAAAATATAAATTTGACCCAAACATTATTAACTATTAAAGCTACATTGCCTTATAATAAGATCAATACAGAAACTGCAGCTGTTTCAAATTTCCAGTTTTAGTTTTGCACGTGAATTTACTTTTTTATCCTTTAAATTCTAGCTCAAAAATGTTGTCATCATAGATGAAGATAAGACAACCAATAACATAACAACCAAATGTTGAAATGTCATAATCCTGAGGACAACCTGATGATGCACCAATAACGACCTGTTTGGATTACCTCCTTGAGTGTTGAGTACTTATCCTCGGGCATTATGATCTCGTGTAGGTAGCGTGCTCGGATACGTAGGGAGCCAGTGTCGCTGCGCATTGTGGGGTTGAGGGCCTGTAACGTGTGCCATTTGTCGTAACAGTCTGTGTCCTTGACATCCACTACAGGGATCGTGATGTTGGCTGTAAAGTTATAGACATGACCTTTGTTAGTGCTTTTTGTAATCAACGACACTTTTTAATCAATGTTATGTACTGAAACAATTATTTCCTTCTCTTGAGGACACGATGATCTCATGCAGTTTTATCAAAAACACATTGTCCTCAAAACAAACAATAGCACCATCATATATAGTAGACACCATCTTATAACAGCCTCATTTTTAATCGAGAATGAGAATCCCTAGTCTACAATGGCAGCAAAAAGTACTGAAAACTTATACTGTGTAGTGGGAAACTTTCGTCAAATATTCACCCTTTCCTGATACAATCCGTGTTCACCCAGTGTTTATTTCACCCATCACATGTACATTTGTAATAACTATAGATTGTACGTTGTGCTATACAATTGGCTGTCATGAGAAAGTCACCCTCATTGGGGAAGGCAAAAAAGGCGAAAGTTAAACTACAGCAAAACATTCCCTGTATACAGTAATTGACAATATTAACATGTGTTCATATCCTAGTACACAAACCTCCACCTCTCAAAAGTCTATCGTTCCATACAAAGATTTAAAGCTATAACTCTTTAACTTTTTTAAGCTTTTAACTTACAAGCACCCCCTGAAGCTGGCAAGGGCCCAGTGCACTTGCCATCCAAGGCTGGTTAGGGTCTAATGCCCCTGCTGCCTTTACAGAGACTAGCTATGCCTAGAGTACCAACACCCCTGAGACTGGGCTGACGGAGAAGGATTGTAAACTACACACACATATGTTAGATTGGTTGTAAAACCATTGATAAAGTTACAAAACCACTATGGGCAAGTGTGATTTTACAGATAACATGTGTACTTACCAATATCCTGATCTTTTGTTCGTCGACTGTGATTACAAATTATTATGCTGAAATCCTCTATGTCACATGGAATATCACTGCAATGTAGAAATATCAGTTATACTGTTAATACTAACTTCTATAGTGGGTTGTCTCCCTTGTAACCCATTATAGAGATGTATCTTCCCTTTTATAGCCCAAAGAGAAGGACCCTAACTTAACACTGCTTAAATCTGCTTAATACTGTATAACGCTTTAAATTTGTGGGGTCAATATTTCGCAGTTTCGTATTCAGTACTCATTCGTGGGGGTTAAATTTCTCTGTGCACAAGAATCTCAAGTGTCGTGCAAAGTATTTTGATTGTCATAATTTAAGGGTTTAACATTGGATACAGGTAAACCCTTTGAAAACACTGATCTCGAGCGTCGTCATCCGCCAGTGACTTCACTTGAAAGAAAATCAGATGTTCACATACCTTTGTAGGAGTAAACTGTGATCAATAAATCACCTACTGTGTACACATAAACCTGTTGTAGCCACTTATATTTAAGTGTTGTTTTTACATGGACTGCCCAGTTGTCCGGTGATAATCTGATTTGTGTTTATTTCAGCTTGCATAACAGTGTTGGGTTATAATATAAGTATTTTTAACATGTTGTGATCACTGATCAGGTCCGTAAAAGTGGTTAATATAATATTGTTGGTGTTAAGAATTTGCGGATAAATTAGTTAAAGCGCGACTATAGCAAAATTAAAACTCCCACAAAATATAACCGCTATACAGTATGGAATACTATGGTGGCTGATTTGTGCCATTTCGTTGTTTTGTCTTTTCGGGGACAAAAATCAACAAATCTTAATTTTCGTTGTTTCATCCCCAAAAGATGAGAATCAACAATCTTTAATTCTCATTCTTTCGTCTTTTTGCCCGCAAATACGAAAAAACAAGAATTGAAAATTACAAAGCCAAACTTCTGGTTCAGTTTGAATAAAGAAAATAAAAGGGTGGAGAAAGGTTGGGTGACTAACACACACAGAAGGCATCAGCTAAGTTTGTATTTTATAAGGTAAACTAGGAACACAAAGAAAAGACAAAGTCAAAACTATCAGGATGTTTTCCAGGAATACAAAGACCTTTCAGTGATGTTGTATTCTGTACCAAAGGAAAATAAATCTTGATACATCACCAAGGAGAGTACTGTAAATCACTTCAGTTTTGTACTAAATTTTGTGAACTAGACTTGTAGCTTTTATTCATGGATACTTGAATTCTTATCAAGAGGACACAGTTTCAATATTCATTGCAATCATCTCTAGAAGTTATATTCATGAAAGGTTCTAATTCAGGTTTGAGTCTCCTGCCAAATATACACGAAAATTTAGCTCTTGCAAAAATAATGTAAAAAATTGTATTTACTCTAGAATAAATTTGTCATCCCACATAGGATTGGTGCCTTCCTCCACCTGTGTGCGACACACACGCACATTGTTGAGGGAGACAACACAGTAGGGGTGTGGCAGGGTCTTGGTGGGTATACTGCGGGCGTCACACACCTCCACTGTCAGGGTACGCAACTCCTTCAGGGAGCGTGACTGAGACCGCGTCGGTTGTGTATTAACACAATATGGTTTCAGCACTTTTATCCATGTCTGAAAAAACACAAACAAATGGTTACAGATATATCCGTTATACCATTCAACCTGATTTCCTTACTGACAAGAATATTCAGTCCTGCACTCTTACAAAGCTGAAGGAAAATAATATGACAATAATTGGATGTATGAGCCCAACAGGTATCTCACCTAAGTGTCTGTATTCTTATCATGCACAGGAAGTAAAAATGTAAATAATAACTCAAATATCTCAATATTCCGTATATGATATTTCTGCTCTGATGATATTTTATTTTTATATCTCCAATCATTACCGAGTTAACCCGGGAAACTTTTACAAGGTTACAATGTGTAACAAACATGAAACTCATGCAGAGCAAATTTTACCTGTGCAGCAGCGAAACTCTTACCTGTGCAAAGTCGCTGTTTTCTGCACAAAGGTAATAAATCTGGTAGTGGTTTGTAGCGCTAGCTATAGTAATGAGCTGGAAACAGTTGGGTCTGCTCAATAAACACAACAGCATTCAATTAAGGATATCAACACTGACAAATTTCTTTTACACAAATCTTACATACACCTTCACTTTTCAGTAAATAACTTTTGTGTCTCTTTTCAAAGGGGAACATGAAACAGAATAACAATATGGATTAAAGATTGTTGGTGTCTCCTTTCAAAGGGGAACATGTTGATTAGATATTTTTGTTGTCTAATTTCAAAGGGGAACATGATACAAAGTAACAATATTATCATAAGTCCTGTAACCAGAGTTTGCCAGAAAAATATTTTCACCAATGATTTTGAGTGAGGAGAGTCCATCTCAATCAACAAGATTTACAATGTTATCTTACTGATTGCTGAAAACAATCCCACATTCAACACAGCCATGATCTAAAGCTCCAGACCTGACGGCCAACTAAGGTGACTGTACTAACATACCTCCCAAAAAAGCTGTCATGGACTGGGTAGAATGAACTATAGGTCAGGTCTATAAGTCCCTTTGGCTTGGATCTCTGTCAAATAAAATACCACATAATCACATTGTGACATTTCAGGTAGTATCATTATGTATTGGACAGCCCATTTTGTCAGATTTGTGAAAAATAATTAAATTGACAGTTAAAAAAACAAGAGGCGGGCCTAAACGGTCACCTGAGTCCTACAGTATTTATTTTTGTTGTTGAAATATGTACCAATTTGAGTACAAAATAGTTAAGTATAACGTTAACTTAAGTTTGTCAGGACCATGAGCTGAACATTCCTAGACCGAGTTTCAGTTAAATCGGCCAATTAGAACTTGTTTTTAAGTTTGAAATACTTACATGGCGGCCATATTGATTTCTGATCGACCAGTAAAATAACAACACTTTGTCAGGACCATGAGTCGATCATTCCTACAAAGTTTCAGTTCAATCGTCCCAGTAGAACTTGACTTTAAGTTTAAAATAGTTTTTGAAAATGGCGGCCGTGGCAGCCATATTGGATTTCTGATTGACCCGAAAAATAACAACACTTTGTCAGGACCATGAGTCGATCATTCCTACCAGGTTTCAGTTCAATCGGCCCAGCAGAACTTGACTTTAAGTTTGAAATAGTTTTTAAAAATGGCGGCCGTGGCGGCCATATTGGATTTCTGATCGACCCGAAAAATAACAACACTTGGTCAGGGAGATGTCAGTAACCTTCCCATGAAATATTAATGAAATCCCTTTGCCAGTATTTCAGCTTAAGTTGAAAATGTTAAATGTTAACGGACGACGGACGATGGACGACGACGAAGACGGATAGCAATAGGTCACTTGAGCTAAAGCTCAGGTGACCTAAAAATAAAAATAAAATGAAACTTTTTTCGAAGATCAGTGGTGTTTTTATTTTACGGAAGAAGCATTGTTTTACAACAAAGCATATTTATTATTTCATTCTTGTCAAAATTAATACAAGAACCTTTTCATTCTTCATGAATTATTTCGCTCATGTCATACAAAATACAAGTAGTAAAGAAACTCTTTCACTGTACCTTATTCTCTATAAAGTATTTCATTTCCTGTCATAATACATAAACTGTACCTACCTTTTCATTTTCCATGAAGCAGAGCTGTCGATCATGCCCAAGTAACACGAAGAACATGCTTTTCCATTTCTTCACCTTTTGACCTGTAAGTAATCGTATAGGGAACGTATGAGCAGAATATGATGTACCAAATGTTATTTAGTTTGACAAGTGTTGTCAGTAAAATATTGCTAGCATAGTAAGCTCTGTAATCAGACCATGAGCCTTAATAAGTCACCTCGTTTTCTATTCTAGTTCTGATTCCCATCCCCCACAGATGATCCCTGCCAAGTATGATAGATATTGATGCAAAGGTTTTGGAGAAGACAAAAATCATGTTATATTTGCATATATTTTTTTTCACAAAATATGCCTGTAATTTTTTGTTTGTGAATGCTCTAATTAACATTTTTTCCCATTATTCATGGCATAAACATTTGCAGAAGATTTAAATTTGTGATTTAAAAAAAAATATTTACAAAATAAATATTCATGGAAGATTTAAATATGTAAATAAGTCTTTGGCAAATTAATAATATATCAATCTCACACAAAAATGAAGTGATTCACAGAAGTCTACCTAGATCTGTCCTTGATACCTACTCTTTTTAATGAAGAGGTAGCCCTGCATATCCAATTTCTGCCCCCGTCCTGTGATGGGTCCTCGGGAGCTTTGTCTGATGGAGTCATACAAGTGTTCGGCTGACCCCTTCAAACACAGCAGATCATCATCATTTATCATACAGTCAAAATGGGCTTATTCCAATTCAATCACTCCAAAAAAACAGCTGTTCACATTTTGTAAAGAAAAAAAATCTCTTTGCTTAAAACTGATCAGATTCTTTCTTGACTGAAGCAAATTTAACTGATTCTTATATTTAAAATAATCACCGCTCTCAATAACCTAATTTTACCTTAAACACAATAACCCACCCTGATATCTTAAACACAATAACCCACCTTTACCTTAAACACAACAATCCACCCTTACCTTAAACACAACAACCCATATTTACCTTACAAACAGGTGTGACCAAGGTAAAGCTCTCTACTATCTCTTCCTTCTTGTATCTCTCAATAATTGCCTCCAATCTGGTAAACACAAATCCATGTTTAATTCATTGCACAAGCGAGTCTACAGGAGCCTTGGACTCATGTGAGCAAAATTACTGATAAACAAAGGAATTGCCTACAATTTCGTTTTGCCAGGACTACTTACACGTCTTAAGATTAAAGGCAAATTCTTTTCACAGCAGTTCTATATATATTTTTATATCTTTCCTCACAAAAGTGTGAAAGAGTCAAAAGTGCTTGAGTTAGTGCATTGTTATGAATTTCATGAAACTGAAGCCCTTGTGAAAATAAGCAACTACACAAATGTCCCAGGCCTTTACTTCATACTTTTGCTGTCCTCAATTATCTGCTTCAAGAAAATTGTCAATTTTTCAGTAACCATACCCATCAAAGTAGCGGCCTCCCATGAAGAGCTGTCTTCCCTCTTTCTCAATGCGGAATCTCTGCACAGTCTTATCACAAAGGACAAACAGGGAGTAATTTCCTGGGGAGTTTTCACTTGGACGCACCAGGAAACTTCCTTGGCCCGCTAGTGTGTAACAAACAAACCACGATGATTGTCTTTTCCGTTAAATATGCATTTTGTTATTTAAAATTCAGTGATACTGATGAAAGCTTTCAAAAATTTACATAGAACACAAAGTAACCTGTGTACCCTTGATCAGTGTTAACGTCAGGAATACATGGTTTGTTTTCTGATGCCTTGATATTTGTGTGGTGCAGAACATTAAGTTCTATTTATAGTAACATGACCTACATCTCTGACCTCCAAACTTGAAAAACAATCACAAGAAAGCATTACATGACATTTTTTTGCATGTATTTTCTTTCGTGGTTTAAAGCCATTTAGATTGTTTCATGGTACAAACTTTCCTGGATTCCCCATATAAACAAATAGAAGGGAAGTATATTAACCAAATTCATTGTATTTATTTTCATGGTTTCATAGCAACAACGAAAACCTTGAATGTTTATACACAGCGAACATTTCATGTTATGCAGTATATTAAGTTGAGTGCTACTTCATTAATTGAGATATGGTGAAGAAATATTTTTTCATCAATTCATGTTAACTAAATTTATTGTGCTGAGACAAGTTTTCTGTTAATAATAACAGTAACCTTGACCTCTGATTTTTGGTCAAGCCCTTTAATAAGGAAACACTGTAAGGCATGAAGTTGCCCCATAGAGACCAAATTTATTATTGTGCAGAAAGAAAGGTAGGACAAGCATCATTAAAATCATGGGGAATGAGGAGGGGAGGGGAAGGAATAAGAAATCAATATATCTGCGAGTCTCCTTCTCAAAGCCATTATCTTCAAAGTTCATCTCTTCAATAACCAACCTTATCCACTGGTCCATCAATCATCTCTAAAGTGTCTTTGTGACCAATGTTAACCAAGTTTCCACTGAGTTTCTCGCCACTATAACCAACCTTCACGGAGTTTCTCCACTGCGTCCTCCTTTGTTATGCCCGGATGAAAATATGGCAACGTCTCATCAGGATCTATACTCCCGTTCTATAAGGAAATGAGGTACGCGTCATATTAATATAACAAAATCAACACAGTGCCTGTTTTTATCTCTTTACAACATGCAATATGAAAATGTCTAAAATATTTTGTGTTGTTGTTATTTATATTATTCATGGGGAGAAAATGTCAGTAAAACCCCAACTTCCACTTTGATGGAAATGGAGCTAAACCTGAAGTTAACCAAAGTCAATGAAATGAAAAATAGAGGTCACAATCTACATTTGATGCATCGGTGTAGTGCCCCTCAATATGTGTATTGACATATGAAGCTGGAATTCTGCAGTACTCCTAGTATTATGAGTTATAAGTGTTTTTTCTCCCCTAGTATTACTACAGCCTGTTCCTACATGAAATGGCAAAATATAGATTTTTTGTTTATAGGAATTGGGAAGATATTCCTCATTTTGCCTTCATTTTGGAAAATAAAACACTTTTTCGCAAGGGCAAGCAGGTCCGCCAGAATTTATACCCAAAATTGTTATATTTAAAAACGAACAAACTGGTTGTTCTGCATAAACGACCAGGCCCCAGTTTAATACACTCTCACGAGTAAACGGTTGATAGCCTCACCAGGTCCTCCACTAGAGCCTCATGTATTTGTCCTTCCTTGTCCACTCTCTGAGCTTTAACCCACAGCCAACCATCCCCCATCTCGTTCAGTACCACGAACACATCACCTTTCTCAAAGCTGAAACAAAGCAACAGTTTAATTACAAAGAGCTGAGAGCTGTATGGCAGCTTAAAGATTGGCTGTACACCCCAAAATAGGCACTATGGACCAAAGTCCATTAACGGTCATATATCCAGAGGTAAAATGCAATTGAATGATGTAAACACCAGATTCGGCATCAGACACTGTTGAATAATGAGAAGTGCATCTTTAATAAAAAAAAAAAATCCTCAAACAATGTACCTCATATTTTTCCACTGCAGCAGAGACAACCTTATTATAGCAGCATCTCCTTACAGCTAATCAAATAATTAGTAGTGCATCTATTCTTTAATAAGAAATTGTTTTCTCAAACAATGTACCTCATATGTTGACATTTTTCCCATCGCAGCATTACTATAGCAGCATCTTATTACATCAACAATGTGATGTTAACTGACAGTAAAACTGTATACTGTTTACCAGTTGATGTTGAGGGCTGTTCCAGAAAAAAACATATTTGAGGGGTGGGTGGCAGTTTTTTTACAGACCCCACCACCCACAATATATTAATAGTCATTTAATATCAGGATTTGTAGACAGATCTGGTTTTAATCTTACCTGCCATAACATAATTATATCAGTACCTCCCACCTCCCCCATACCATTAATTCTGGAATAGCCCTGACAGGGAAAAAATCTCCGAGAACTAATTCATTGCATTTAAAATAAATTGTCCTAAATATCTAGCAGGACAATACATTTGCAGGTTTAAATTGTGCATGTCACTGCTAACATTCATTTGCAATACGAAAGTATAATGGATGCCTGTAAATTCCCCATTAAGGGGAACAATATTACCATATTCACAGTATTTGTCTTCATCCACATGGCATACATATTGACTATGAATGCCAAGTGAAAGCAATTCAATGCTTAACATATCAGGTAACATGGAAAGAAGACACATTAAATATTTTTGCTTAATTAATTCACCCCTGACATTTCATAATGAACTATTCCAGCCTTTGAATTGGAAGAGTTAAAATGTGTCTTCAGGGGTAAATGAGTTTAAGTACTTACCTCAGCTCATCTGTTTCTGGCATTTTAGAGAAGGGAAGATGTGCTATCACCCGCCTCCTGTCATCCACTGGCTACAGAAAGGAGCAAATGGATTAAACAGTGATCAGACTCACCTTCTCAGTGACAACAATATATTCTGTTTATATGAAAGTCCATGGTAACATAATTAATACCTACTAAATACAAGCAGACCATAAGAAATCTAAATTAAAAATTCATTCATTTCTAGCAAATTTCTGTTATAGCCCAGTAGCAGCCCTATCCATCATATAATTTCAGTCGAGTAATCTTGACAAAAATATGTCACTTTGTCTGTATCGCCAGAGTACATCAATGATGGAAATTAATTTCAGCATTATCTTTTTTACTAGAATTAGGCAAGAAATTGTATTCAAATGATTTCTTCGGGAACACAAAAGTACACTTTAGGAAGCAAACAATTAAGTATTTAGAACTCTTTCTCAAGAAAGCTTGCAATTGAAAAGAAATGTTAGTTTTGACCCCTGGGTAATTAAACTCGACAAAAACTAACTGCTCTGTAAATGATGCTATATGATGTACCTTATACATGACATTAGACGATAGTACAGGCCTACCTCAGGTGGAGGGACTGGCAGTTTTAGTTGTTCCTCTTTGAGAAGATAGGACTGTGATGTATAATATCCTACCAGGAGGCACAGCGTCTCAAATCTCCGGCCCCCAATGTAGTAATCACCACAGATAGCAGATATCCTGTCAACAAAAAGCATAACAACATGATTATATCTTATCTTCGTTGAGGCTGTCTCTAGATTTAACAACAGTTTTATAGCATATGTGGTGCAGGAAATACTCAATGGAAGTACATTGTATCTGACTCCTTGTATTATTGCGTAAGTAAGTGATGTCTCATCAGTTCCTATTGTTGTCTTCAAGTTCAAGTTTTAACTCTGTCTGTATTTCTTGGCATACTGTTTTTTCAATTTTACAATATTGTTTAAAGCTACTTATTTTTCAGGGAATAGATATCATATAAACGAACACAGAAAAATGTAAATATTTTCTGTAAACATTTTTTTATTTGGGACACTGATAACGAATATTTTTTAATCTTTAACAGTTGCGGACTTGGATTCTTTTCTAAGAAGCAACTTAACCTAGTAAACTGATTCAATCAACCAAAAGTACAAACCCTAACATTGACTCCATACTGAAATATGACCACATTTGAGCAACATGATTGAGACAGTGATACAATTATATAAGAAAGTACGAACCCAGGTCTGATGCAAAAAGATGCAGAAATTTTACATGTCGGTCAGGCAGTTCTGATCATCTTGTCACCATGGCAACCAGGTAAAGATTTTAAGTGTTGAGATTTATAACTCCGCCTAACATTGTTCAAACCTGAAGTGGGTGAGTCCATTCTTGCCAAGGTAAGACAGGACATAGGAGCCTGATTTACTTTCACTTTCCCTCACAAGATAGCTGCCGATCTCGCCTGCTGACCGAAGACGTTCCTCTGCTGTCTGACGCCCCAGCCGTCCATGGTACCATCTGTGAACACATGTACAGCAAAGGTTGCTTTTATCAGAATATATTGGAATTCCAACTTTGGGGGAGGGAGCAGTTAAAATATGTCTAATGCCTCATACTTTTTAAAATTTCCATGAGGAGATTCTGCATGCTCAAAACTAGAGACCTAGAGACAAAATAACCTTAAATGACTTATTTTGAGTTGTTCTTTAAAAATGAAATAATTAGATCTTAGGAATAGTTTAGTAGAAAATTCACTGGTTGATCATGCTAAATTTAAGGGTTCAAAATAGGGAGTCTCCCTCCTAAATAGGGAGAGTTGGCAAGTAAGATTTTTATCAATTTCTTATTGGTTAGAATATAAAGATCATATTGCTTGATCATTTTAACATTATCCTTCTGACAGACATTAGTTAAACATTCACAATAACACCTCTGATGTTCACCCAGGATAATGATTCATGAAAGATATTTCACATGAATTGGCCTGATGTACAAATATGTGACATTATTGAATGTGTAAAAACAACACTTATATGGGGCTTCCAGGAGAGACAAAAACAATGTGTGGCACTCATGATCAGGAGACAACGCTAATATAACGATAAAATGAAATTCGTAGGTGGGGGCTCCTTGAGGGGCACATATTTGGGAAGATGTGCTTCATCATGAAAATTTCATTTCATGTTTAGATTACAAGCATGCATTTTACAGTAAATAATTAAATATTTTGTTACCAATTTCCCACAAAATACCTTTTTCAATATATATATCATTGATTTTTTTTTATCAGATAGTAAGTTCTTAAGTCAAAAGTCTATTGATACTATAAATAAATGCTAACCTTACTTTGCATAGGTGTAAACATCTAATGGGTTTGATAAAAAAGAAGTAGTTTCTCTAATAATGAAATTAGCACTCATTATAGGTTATTTTAATCTTTGTTTTTTTAAGCAATCGTATACCAGTATACATCTTTTTCCTCTCATTTATGATCATCTACAACAGGTTGAAGATTATGTCATGTGTATACACAAGAGCAGTGTGGAAGGAAATGATAGTTATCATCAAATATATGTACATGCTCATGTGGTAGATACAAAAATTGTATATGTTTATAAGTGCCTATCTAAGGTGACCTCAATATCTGTGACTCACGTGTGTACTGATTATAAATACTTGAGTTTCTATAGCACACGGATCTAATTAACGCCTACACAAAATCTGTGTTCTTCCTTATAACTGGGGAACTGTTGTTATCTCCCCTTTACAGTGTCAAATCAGTGACATACATGTTTAGCATTTCAGAAAGATCCTAATTGTGTGCGAGTTAAAACATTTTAACATAAGTTCAAGAATTTGTGTGTTGTATTCTACTGATATTCGACTTTATCAGGTTTTTCATGCAGAATCAATACTAAGTATCTTTATTTTATGAACACAATTTTTTAAAACATCATTTTGTCAGCATGGAAACATACATAAACTCTGACATCAGTAGATTATAAATATTTATAGCAAGAAATATCAATCATTTGTAGGGTTTAACATGATAACTGTGGCTAATCATTTAACACTTGATAAATGTACTTGTTCAACTTATAACCAATCCCAAATAAGGAAAGGCTTGCATTGTTTACATACTGACATATCAATATTCTTTCAAAGTCTTCAAAGGCTCACATCGGTAATACCTGTATACACTTCTCAGTAGTTACATATAAATCATCAAACAATCATCAAAACTAAACAATGTAGCCCCACCATACTCGCAGATAAAGTAACTCATCGAACTTGTCTGCGAGTTTGCAAAGTTTCTTCGACTGTTCATGACGGATGACCTACTGATTTTCAGGCGGTGCAGTCATCGGAATAGTCACCAATTCCTCCACACATTCTTGCGTTTCAGAGAGGGGGTCATCTTCATCTCCAATCTCCATAGTTACGCTATCATCAGTCGTTCCCCCCGGAGACGTTGGACTCCAGGCACCCGACTTGTTGTGGTCGGCCATTTTCCGCGTGTGCGCCGCAGAATGCTAATCTCTATCCTGATTGGTCCAAATTATTTCCCGCCATCTGGTACAGATTTTGTACTGTCAGAGACGCAAATAGTACGATATTTATATAGGCTATACTATTACACATAAACAATAAATAATTTAATTCCTCAATTAATTCTAAGATTTCATAGGTTAACCTGTCCATTTTTGTGGTTGTCATATTCACTGAAGATAATTCAATAAACACTAAAAAGACTACTCGGATTCACTCATTTGAGGTCAAAACTAGTTGAATTATCAAAATTATATTTTACGCGAATCATAGGCCGAGTCAGTGTGTAATCATGAAACTATGTAGTTTACTGCTTACATCAAAAACCCTAAAGACAAGTGTTTATACATGTTATAACACACTTTCTGTAATGTACAGGTGTAAGGAACGCCAAATTATACCATTCAATTAATTGTACCACGGAATTAGATTATCTAAGTCCGTGATTGTACC